TGTTACAAAGGAGTTTCCCCCTTTTACAATCTGTCACTCAGGAATTTCTGCTGACTTTATCTTGGCAGAGGTCTTATTTTGGTAACTGACAAGGGAGAGAAACTGTTTTTCTAACTTAAACAAGGAGATAAGACCCCACTTTTTGTCTCCACCAGGAAGATGCATCAATGTGACTGGATCAGAACGTTAACAGAGGACCTGTTCAGAGAAAAAATTATGAACAAATATGAAAACTGTCGGGCAACTATTGAACAAGTAGAGCAGATTTATTGCAAACCACAAAGGGTGCAGTTCTGGCCAAGTGGAAACAACTATGTGAATGTTCGTTAGTGATAAGGCGGGAAGGAGTTTGCAGTTGGGTGTAGATGAGTGCAGATGTGGGCGGCAGGACCAGACTGGTACGGGACAGGTTGTCGGGCATTCATGTAGAACCCTGCATGGGGATGCATTGTGAGCAGGTCAGTGTGTCGTGACCTGAAACCGAAATGGTGAGCCGCACCTAGCATCAGAATTCAGCCAGTCGGAGGCAGAGGACTCTTCATCACCCGTGAAATGCTTTTGCACGTACTCATATCAGGCACAGGCTGGCATCACATTCGAATACGGCATGAACTGTGTGAGTTTGGAGCTGGACTTGTTTTGATTATGATGTGAGAAATGTCAGACTTGATGTAATCCGTGGATTAAGGAGGTCTGGGAGTGGTGCCTAAAATGACTACTGTGTGCAAAGGAGTTGGCTGTGGTCTACAAGATGTGCCTCAGTGTCGACTGAACCGCAACACACACTGTCATTTCCTTTCATCGCTCGGGCTGCTTGGCAGGTGCCTCAGACGTCACACACACACACACACACACACACACTCAGCTCTGATTGTGTATTCAGTGAGTGGCGCGTTATGATTTTCCAAAAACCGCTCAATGAATATTCCTTTAATGGAAAAAAAATCAACTTTTTGTTGTCAAATAGCACATTTATACATGAGAATTGATGGGCCACTGGACTCTGGATTATATGTCACTCAATAAAATCAGTCTAATACTCTCTGCCATGAATTGTGTTGGGGTAAAACCGGAACGCTTCGAGGACTGCTTCAGAGTCCATCACAGCTGTCACCGATTTCCTTGGTCTGCTATGCCAACTGTAGAAAACCTTTTGTACAGTCCCCTGGTTGAAGCTGCTGAAGCTGCCTGTAGGCTGCTGTTCCCACTAGAGCCCAGACTTCCCACTCTGCTATATCTTCTTCCTGTTCTGTACTGGCTGTTTGGAAGCGTTTGTATTAATGGTGTGCCAATTCAAAGTGGCTGCCAGGTAAACAAGTCTTTTCACCACGTTAGCCAAAAATGTGACACCTAAACAGCGATGCTGTTACTGATAAACATCGACTTAATATTCACGAGAAAAATTGTGGATCAACCAGGTTGGTGATCCAATAATGGATGTTTGCGGTGACATTCAGAGAAGGTCAGAGGGGTCACGTTTTGCAGTTTGAAGCTGAGGAAAATTTGTGCAGCTGCACATCACTCATCTCAAGAACATCCATGTGTCTTAAACATCAACATGTGTGAAGCCTATGTGTCTTTTCAGAACACACACACACATGCACAAATGTGGGAACACACCCTTCAAGCTTTCTGCCCATGTCAACATGCATGAGGAAGTGAAAAAAAGGTGTTGAGCCATCCTATCTGTTTGGAAAGTTGTTCTGGACCGGCGCAGCTCCGTAGCCAGCATCTGTGCATAACAGGTATTCGTGGTATGACTAGAGGGAAGGTTTCTGACTATTGCATGTGGGGGAAAAACTCTGCTTCTTTGTCAAGTCGTCTCCCGGCTGCCGGCTTTGTTCTAGTAGCTGTAACTTACCGTCACAGAAACGGATTTATTCAAAATTCTGAATGAAAACTAACTACGACTAGCGTTTTCTGTTTTCGGTAGAGTTTAACTGATTTTTTTTGTTTTTGTTTTAATTGTTGTCTCTTTTTGGCTGATATAATACACTACCCACTCACCCATACACTATACGTATATACGTTACACATCTGGAATTTGTGATGAATAAAAAAAACTGTATATTGCTGGATTAATAATAATGATAAAGTTCAAATTAAATTAAAAGGAGTCTTATGGTTTTCCTAATAATTTTACATATGCCCCAAATCTCAAACTTCAAACATCCTACTCTGCATTGTTTGCGCAGTTATTTTGTTGAAAGCCCCGAGAGTGGCACAAATGTGTAACTTATTCAGCTCACAGGAAAAGTAAGGCAGCTCAGAGTGAGGGGCTCCCTGAGGATCTCCATCAGCAGGGCCTGCTCTGGACAGTAGAATGGCTGGACATGATACAACAGAGCCTCACTGGCCAGTTACCTCCAACATGAACAGGCCAGCTCCTCATTCCTGCAGATTTCACTGAAATTTGATATGAAAAGTGCGTGTGTGTGTGTGTGTGTGTGTGTGTGTGTGTGTG